AAAGGAGCGTCCGCGCTGTGCGCGGATGAGTATGTGCAGCTGGGAGTCGCGGCTTGGAATTGAAGCGGATTTACACGGGATAGGAGATGTGAGCCAATCTCTTTTTTTCGTCAATGGATGCTTCAGCTTCTTGTTTGCTTTCAAACTTAGCTTGTAGCAGATGTGCGCACTTTTTCAGCATGACGTCTCTGATCCACTGGTGAAAGGACACTTTGAGTCTCTCCTTTCATCTAGAACTGCTTCAAACAACAAAGTGTATGCAGAAAAAGTGGTTAAGATTGGATGACTGTCTGTGTCTTGTGTTGTGTTGTATTATTTTGTCATTTTATATTAACTGTTCTGTTGATGATAGCGCGGGTACCCGCAGGGGCTCCTCTCTCTCCTGTGGTTGAGAGGAAAGAAATTTCATCTGTCCTGTACGTTGTACATTGAGCACATTTGACAACAAAGTTGACTTGACTTGATTTGAGTAGTGATTTTCAAATTTTGAGAAATATTTTTTTTCTTCCGGTCAATCCCAGAGACATGTGGCAAGGATGATTTTGGACAATAAAAATGTGACAGTATCATCAAGTGTAGAGTGACAGGAGCGATGCTTTTCATCACCAAGATTAGTATAAGAGTGGTTGAAAAGGTCAATAATATTAAATATTGATGAATGTTCTGCTCAATTTCAGTCTTGATATGATTGACTTATTATGTAAGAAGGATTTTAAGGACTTTACTCAGCTCAGGAAAGAGCAGCATTTCTCAAATTCACATTGTTTTAAACAAAAAAAACGGGAAAAAAGTGAAAACTCTTAAAGTCTTTGCTTTGGTGATACATCATCATATAAAAGTGATTTATATTTATGGTGCATGTTTCTAAACAGTTTATACTTAACAAATGACTTGCCAACTCATTAATAAGGCATTAATTAACCATTTATGAACCACCAAGCCGATGCTTTGAATGAGTTACTAATGACTTGTTGCTGTTTATTAGGGCGATAATTAAAGTGCTACTCAATAATCAACAATGTATAAACAACTCGTTAAGGCTGAGAAGAGCTAGATGGTTCCGAATTCAAGTTTGTGCTTCTTACACAATAAACTATACACATGCATGTGCAGTGTTATTTTTGCACGGTGAAATCCACGATTTGAGCTTCAATCCGGCTGCCCGGCTGGGAAAACAGAGGGTGAACACCTCCTCCTTAATAATTAAAACGGAGGCGCCCCGGTGAAGAGCACTTGAGTTGAGCTCACAGTCCGACCGCAAACTGCTGAAATAAAGCATCTGCACATGGCCTCGGTGTACTAGGAGCAGTGGTATTGAAAACAAAAATAAAAAACGTGCAGGCGGAAAAGAAAGTCAGCAGGAGTCAGGCTTTAGATTTTGCCGAACATTTCGCAAAGCGTTCATGCTCCGAGTGAGTCAACAAGAATAAGTGCTGGCGCTGCTGAGAGGGTCACAGGAGGACTGATTACTTCCTCAATGCGATGAATTTCCCGTTCAAACAGGAAGTGGGAGCAGGAACGCGACACAATGAGGCCTCGCTCTGACACTTGAAAGATAACCAGCTAGTCATGTTTGCGCTTTTAACACAGTTTCAAAGTCTTATATGACTTGGCAGTATCGCTCACAGAAGTGCTCCGATACAACACCGCCAATACCATGTTACTAGCCTGACATACAAAGTTTTTGCCCTCCTGAAGCGTACGGTGGGCACCTTGGCATACAGCAAATAGCTCTTCGAAAGGAGTCCGTGAGGGCTTGCTTATTGTTTTGCTCATCGACATTCCCGGTTGAAGTTTAGTGGAATACTAAGGTGGAAATAAAGAGAATTACATTCCCGGTATGTTTATCTCATAAAATGCTTCATTTACATTATGTTAGCTAAAAGCTAACATGTAATGTGAAACGCCATACAAGGGCTAGCAGAATTAGCATCGATGTGTTGGTATAAAAATTTAAATAAGAAAAATATTAATACAAATGGTGCAACAACACTAACAGACAGACAATATAACCCTACTCAAATGGCAAATATAACTGTGGAGATTTTGTGTTCTTTTTTTTTTTTTTAATCAGCAATGCCAGTAAACTTTTCAAGATTGATTTTTTTTGGTGCTGATTCCAAATCGCCATGTTTCTTTCTCTTGCACATCAGGATTTCAAAATACAACTACTACTACTACTACTACTACTACTACTACTACTACTAATAATAATAATAATAATAATAATAATAATAATAGTCAAAATAATAATAGCAATAATATATGTCATATGTTTAGTCATATTCATGAATTTTGGATTAGATTCAGCACAGGTGGAATTTCACAGCTCAAATCACAGCAATAAATTACAATGCATAGTAAAGTCCGTCGAGTGCAAGCTTCATCCATCCATCCATTTTCTGAGCCGCTTTATCCTCACAAGGTGGGTGCTGGAGCCTATCCCAGCCGTCTTCAGGCAGTAGGCAGGGGACACCCTGAACTGGTTGCTTGTGCAAGCTTTTATAGGTCAAATTTAAAAATAGAAAATGAAAATATGTTAAAAACCTGATACGGTAGAAGAAAAATGACATTCTTGAAATCAGTGTCAAAAATACTTTTAATGATACATAGATCCATCTCTAATTAAGGTTTGCTTTTGACCAGTGTATTCTTTCGACTCTTTGAAAAAAAAGTGTTATATCACTCCACTTTTGTGGACATACGCAGGAATAGTTACTGCTGTATTGATTGCCGACGTTTTATGTTATGTGTTCTGATGTATTACTGTTATTTTATGTTAAATGTTCTCTAAAGCACTATACTATAGTTGCAGCTGTCTTGTATCGCATTAGCCACAAGTGTCTGCATACATGCAGTACACTGCCCCCTGGCAGACACAACAAAAAGCAGCACATATTACATCTGGGCAAGCAGAGGAAATGCCTCAGAGAAAAACTGTGTTATATTTGAGAGAAAGTGATGCCATCTTCAGTCCAATTTTGTGTTTTGTGGTTTTGGTCTGCAGGGAGCTGAAATGTTTTCTGATGGTTACAGCTGTACCTAATGGTTTGGCCAAATATTCATTTGCTATTTTTTGGCTACGACAGTGGTCAAAGCGGACTGTCTTTGAGCTTGAATTGCTCTTTTAATTGTTTTTCTCCAGCATGAACAATAATGAACAATGATTTGTTTTCCGTCAAATTCTTGAATACCCACTAGGCCCCCCTTTTTTTTTTTTAAATAGTATTTCAGTCCAATTTTGTGTTTTGTGGTTTTGGTCTGCAGGGAGCTGAAATGTTTTCTGATGGTTACAGCTGTACCTAATGGTTTGGCCAAATATTCATTTGCTATTTTTTGGCTACGACAGTGGTCAAAGCGGACTGTCTTTGAGCTTGAATTGCTCTTTTAATTGTTTTTCTCCAGCATGAACAATAATGAACAATGATTTGTTTTCCGTCAAATTCTTGAATACCCACTAGGCCCCCCTTTTTTTTTTTTAAATAGTATTCTGAGTCAGAAGTGACAATAATGAAGAACAGAAGTTAGCAGCCCCACCATTCCCACCCTGCTACCCTTTGGCGCCCCTTCTTTTCCCTCTCCTGATCCATAAAATATTTCAGAGCCCCAGCAGAGGTCAGTGAACAAATGACGTCCTTGTGTTAAACTGGGTTTTCCACCCTCGGGTGTCCCACAATGCAAAACTTTTGACCTGATGGGCTGACCCTGCAACACTGGAGGGAGGAAAGCTTGAAGGTATTATGGATGAGCGTGGAGACAGACACAAAGAAAGACTAAAAGAACAAAGGGAGGGAGGCAGGAAAGTGGGAAGTTTGAGAGTTGCCACCTCTAGTTCACGGAAACCGCTGCGGAGGCTTAGTTAATCAGCTATCTCAAAATTGTTTTGGTTGGTATTAAGCGCTACTTTTTCTTTTGCAGACAGAGAGTTGGTATGGAAGTGCTTGGCAAATGACTGATGTCAAGTGAAAACCTTGTTCGTCTAAATATATTCAAATTCATCGTTTTTTTTTTTCCATAAATCGATACGATTGGTCTGTCGGCACGTCGTCTGGTTTCGTTACATATTATTAGCCATTTCAAAGAGTTTAAACGACAACAACTGAATATATATATTTTGTATATAAATAAAATTAGTTAGGCTGGATACATTTGACTAAGCCCATTCCGTTTAAAAAAATATGTCATTGTCTACAGATTTATTTTTACCAATGACATCACTTAGCCAGCTCATCGTTTTGGGTATTATATCACTCATGGCTTTAAGACCTCTGAAAAACAGTTTGCTTGATTGAGTGTAAGATTGATGTCAAATTACAATAGTCAGTGTTCATTTAAACTGGTACAACATCCTCAGCTCAACTGAAAATGAAAGAATCCTCATTCAAGCTCTTTGTAATGCTAAATAGACTCTTGGATTTTGTTTTTTTGAGTAATTTTGAAGATAAATTCTGTTTAAAATCGAACATTCCTGTTCAAAATGGTCAAGGGTCAGGGGCAAAACTGAAAAAAGAATCTGCATTAAAACGCTTTGCAATACTGGATTATGATTATTGTATGACTATGATTATTATCAAATGACTAAAGGTGACTTCAGTCTGAAATTCCTCATCCTTGTTTAGAACAACCAAATGCAAGAGAAAGTCTGCTTTTGTTTCTGTTTTATGTTTTTGTTTTTTTTGGGGGGGGAGCAATAAGTCATATTTTTGGTCAAAGGTGAATTCAGTTTAGACTTCCACATTTCTATTCAAAATGGTATAACATAAAGAGGACTCACTTGAAATCGTAAGAGTTTTCATTCAAGTTCATGTTGATGTTTGACAGTCTTACAAGCAAAATTGTGTTCATATTTACATCTAATGGCTGACCGTGAATTCAGTTTGAAATCATTCCCGTTCAAAATGGGAAAAGTATCTGGTAAGTCCGCTTTCATGCACCTAATTTTAATTCTTATGAATATGTTTGTTAAGCATAGTAAAATAATTTGTGGGTTTTTTTGTGGGTTTTTTTTTGCTTCATACATTTTCATGCATCTAGTCTAGTCGTTTTCAAAAGGTTTTGCCCCCGCCCCTCCAAAAAATTAAAATGTGTCCTAAAACCTCAGTTCTCATGGAGAAAACATTAAAGTTCTATGGTTTCTTTTACCTTTTTTGAGGTGGAGATAACACTCGTACTATTCAAACCAATTGCTCTGCATGATGTTTAATTGAACCCCGGGCTGTTAATCCAGGAAAGAAAAAAAACCCCAACTAATCCAGATTAAGGTCAGACAGACGCAGAATGTGGTGGTCAAACACACTGCAACAGGCCTGGCGAACACTTTTTCCCCCCCTAATTTTTCTCATAATCACGTGCCTGTGACTGTTTGTTTGTGTGGGAAACATCGGCTCTGATCCACAGGGGGAATTTTAACGAGTAAGGTAATGATTAGCAAACTGCCAAAAACGCCATCCTATTCACGATCAGTACATAGGTTGCCGTGGTGACAATCCTGCCCGAGAGAAGATTTTGTCATTTACGTTCACGGCATCAATGCAACAGCGGGACATTTTTGGGTGCGTCTCACTCCACCTGAATGCTGATAAAGTGCATAGAAAGACTGAATACGATGTTTCGAGTCCCCATACGGCGAAAGGGAAAACATAAGAAATACCCCAAAAAACACAAAAGCGTATAGGATGTGATGCATTTATTGTGTATGAAGCCAAGTTGTCGTATCCCCCTCACTTAAAGCATTTCCACATGAATAACTCAGGGTTTATTGTAGTTCAGCTCATAAATCACGCACGGGTTTGCGAGGGTTCCAACGAGAGGCGCTTTTTTGGTGTGGATTAGTCTCGCAAACAAACGGCATCAAAAGCTGTGGCGAATTCCTCTCACTATTAGCGCATACCAGAGGACTGCTAAGTATAAAGCTCAAGTATATAAGGAGGTGACTACAAAGTACGCTCATAAGACATATTCAGGGTACACACTAAAGCACTTCATGATGCTTGATGGTCTCTTTAGGTTTAGGGTGTCAAAGTCAAATGGACGGAGGGCCAGATAAAAATTTTTGCTGCAAGCCGAGGGCCGGACTGATCGAATGTTCATTGAAAATTTTAAAAATAACCACATATTGTTTATTGAACCAAATTTAATTGACTGAAAACCTAACAAATACATTCCAATACGGTCAGATAAATAAAGCAACATTTTTTTATGGCTATGTCAGTAAACTTTAATTTTCAACAGGCACAAAAAAATTTCCTTTGTATAAAAATACCCATAACATGAATGAAAGAAGCCGATATTATTCAAGGCACTATCAATAGTCCATATTTTCTCTTTTAGCAAAAGTAGGCTAAATTTACTTAAAAGAAAAACAAATAATAGTGCAGTAATTTTCGATCATTTACTCGAATAAAATATTTTTAAAACATAATTAGATTGAAATACAATAAAATAAAGTGCAAAAATGTATAAACCAAAAACAACACTTTCTTCAAGAAAAAAACTTGAACTGAGTAAAAACTCTTAGTATGTGATTGCACAGTATATTATAAGTAATATTCACTTATTTGAGGCTGAGGCTGATACTCGGTGGTGTCT